CACCCAGGCTGGAGTGCAATGGCACGATCTCAGCTCACTACAACTCCACCTCCCAGGTTCAAGCGACTCTCCCGTCTCAGCCTCCGGAGTAGCCGGGATTACAGGCACCCGCCATCATGCCCAGCTACTTTTTGCATTTTTGCAGAGACAGGGTTTCATCATGTTGGCCAGGCTGGTCTTGAACTCCTGACCTCAGGTGATCTGCTTGCCTCACTCTCCCAAAATACTGGGATTACAGGTGTAAGCCATCTCGCCCGACCTGGAATTTATTTTAGATGAGGAAAAGACTGTAATCAAAGAAACACTTAAATAAACAGGATTATATTATTTTATTTTATTCTTTGCAAGTGATTTTATTTACAATGCCACCTTTTAAAAGGTCACTAAAGCTGGGCGTGGTGGCTCATGCCTGTAATCCCAGCACTTTAGAAGGCCGAGCCAGGTGGATCATGAGGTCAAGAGATCGAGACTATCCTGGCCAACATGGTGAAACCCCGTCTCTACTAAAAATACAAAAATTAGCTGGGTGTGGTGGTGTATGCCTGTAATCTCAACTCCTTGAGAGGCTGAGGCAGGAGAATCGCTTGAACCCGGGAGGCAGAGATTGCAATGAGACGAGATCGCGCCACTGTGCTCCAGCCTGGAGACAGAGCAAGACTCTCTCCAAAAAAAACAAAAAAAAGTCACTAAAGTCACTAAAGAAAAAAAAAAAAAAAAAAAAAAAAACATTGCTTTAAAAAAAAAAAAAAAAAAAGAGGGAAAATTCAAAATGTCACTTATAGAGAACCCGCAGTTTAGTTTTATTCAGAGCAAAGGAAAAAGAAACTCTCAATCATACTAGAGGAAACTCAGCCACAGGTTTGGAATCTACTCAAACTATGCATGCGGTGAGGACCATATCCTGCGAATGCAATTGATCTGCTGCACGTGTCTACTGTTTGTCTAATATTCACAGTTATAAACAGGGCAGTGCAACCCGTATTTGAAGCAATCTTTGCAGTGTCAGGCACAGCATTTCACGTCTCTTTGCACCACGGGTTCTCTTTGGGTACCTGGGCTTCCTCCTGTTCAATGAAGTCAGTTTTGATATCGATGGAAGACTGTTCCTGCCAATCTCCTCTGGAGCCTTCCCCTTGATCAAAAGGCAACAGTCTTGCATGGAGCATCAAGCCAACCTTTGATGTCCAATTGGTTTGCAGCCACAATGACTTTAAAAAGTGTGCCTTGGTCAACTTTCAGAAATTCTTGGTCCCAAACAGGGATAGTGTCTGTTTGCTTTTTTTTGTTCTTACCATCCTCTGGAGGAGGAGGAGGGTCATCCTTGTGGTGAGTGCACCCCTGAATTATCTTTTTTTTTAAAAAAAAAATTATTACCATTTATCTACTTATTTTTGAGTCGGAGTCTTGCTCCGTGGCCCAGGTTGGAATGCAATGGTGCGATCTCAGCTCACTGCAACCTCCACCTCCTGGGTTCACGCAATCCTCTTGCCTCAGCCTCCTGAGTAGCTGGGATTACAGGCATGCTGCCACCATGCCTGGCTAATTTTTGCATTTTTAGTAGAGGTGGGGTTTCACCATGTTGTCCAGGCTGATCTCGAACTCCTGACCTCGTGTGATCCACCTTCCTCAGCCTCCCAAAGTGCTGGGATTACAGGCATGAGCCACCGCGCCTAGCCTGAATGACCTTTTTAATATTGCTGCATTAACATTTGGCAGAGGAACTGGGTCATCATCTCCTTCATCATCAATTCCCAAATCTTCCAATCTTCCAACATGGTCTTAAAGAGTCACAGATTGTTTTGCAATTTCCACACTAACTCCAAATACCTCTCCATCGGAACTCTGCAACTTAATTGAAGGTATGGGTGTTGGGTCTTAAGGAGACAGCCGGCTAGAGGCCAAGGAGAGCTTGACAGCCTCAGCAGAGGAAGAGGAAAGGCAGAGGATGAGCCCTTTTCGCAACGCAGCATCTGCTCAAACAGGATCATTCTAAACAGCAGTGTGTTATACTATTATACTATATACGGAAATAGATCAGAGTGATATAGTAGACAGTGCCTTGCGGGGGGGAGATAAATTATATTGGTTGATCTGAGGAAGAACATTTAAAGTCATTCCTTTACCCACTTACTACATCTTCTTTCTTGAAAAAAATTTTAGGACTGGGCGTGGTGAGAGGAATGACCTTCCCAGCACTTTGGGAGGCCAAGATGGGCACATTGCTTGAGCTCAGGAGTTTGAGACCAGCCTAGGCAAAATAGTGAGACAGCAGCTCCACCAAAAATACAAAAAAATTAGCCAAACGTGGTGGCACGCGCCTATAGTCCCAGCTACTCGGGAGGCTGAGGTGGGAGAATTGCTTGAGCCCAGGAGGCAGAGGCTGCAGAGAGCCGAGATCGCCCCACTGCACTCCATCCAGCCTGGGCGACACAGAGATACACTGTCTAAATAAATAAATAAATAAATAAAGCCGGGTGTGGTGTTGAGGTAGGACAATCACTAGAACCAGGGAGGCAGAGTTTGCAGTAAGCCGAGATTGTGCCATTACACTCAGCCAGGGTGACACAGCGAGACTCTGTCTCAAAAAAACCAAAAATCCAGAAACTATTTTTAATTATTATGCATACATTAAGTTGTACATAGTTACGGGAACTTCCTGCATTTTTACTCTCCTAAATCCCAGAGGTACCTGTTTTCAGTTGGAAGACTCTGCCTCAGAGAGCTATTGACAACTTCCCTGAGCTAGAGAGAAGGAAACAAAATAACCACATCCTTTTGTCAAAGAGATATTTCAGGGAAGCTAAGAGTCCTAGTTTGCAGAAGGAAGCTTTTTGCAGTGCCTAGATCAACACATCCTGTAGCCAATCTGAAACACTCTCCAAGCAGGACCCAGAACATAAGTCAGCAGGAGGTTAACAGCTCTCAGTGGAGAAGGTGGTTTTGTTCCCCTGGTTTTAGCGGTCAAAGGCTCGGCCCCCACACACAAGAGCTGATAACCAAACAATGACTGTCACTAATTCATGGAAGGTTTGAAGCTGTGCTCTGTGCTCAGTCATTCAGAAGTTACCTTGGGTGGAGCCGTTTCATGATCTGACACTTTGAAACAAAGTTGTGTGACAAGCAGCCTCTCAATGATTCCTCCATGCCACCAACTGTCCCACCCCGGCTGCCAAGTACAATCTGTGACACCCATGCATGCCCTCCACCTGCCAACTGTCTCAGCAATTACTTCTTCGTCCATCGGAATATCTGGCATTTTCCCCTAAAGGCTGGTTATAAAACTTCCACATGCTTCCAGCAAAAATGTTCAGATTCCGATTTCACTTCACATGCCACAGGAATGTGAATAATCCCATTTAGGAAGATGCTTGATTAAGTTTTGAGAACTCAAATCAATTTGGTCATTCTTCAACCCCTAGAGCAGGGCTGTCACGAGAAGAAACACTTCTGCATCGATTGCAAAATCTCTGTTGCCCGGAGAGGAGTCTCGCTAGGCTGGTTCCAAACACAGAGAGTTCCTTTAAGAGGCAGTAATGTGATTTCCACCTACGAAGTCCCCTAGGCCAGTGCAGACTCTTTGGCCCCAGTGGACACATGCTCCAGGAGACATCTGGCCTCTGACAAAAACCAATGTCCCCAAGGCAGAGCGAAGAGAGGCCGTGTATCATCAGAGCTATTGTGTAATTCATCGTTCCAGCTGCCCAGCCTTATAGGTGAAACGACTCAAAAAACAAATTCACTGAGCCATTACCTATATGAAAAGTGTGTTATCAACTGAGCGCAGTAGCTCACACCTGTAATCCCATCACTTGGGAAGGCTGAGACAGGAGGATCATTTGAGGCCAGGACTTCAAGACCAGCCTGGGCAACATAAGGAGGCCCTATTTCAATTTTTAAAAATTATAAAAAAGAAAAAAGAAAAAAAAATATGTTATCGCATCATTTAACAGATTGGTAGAAAAGTCTCTCTCTGATCTCCCCCTGCCAGCTGCTGCAGTAGCTCCCTGCTGCAGGAAGCTATGAAAGAAGGCTGGGCCAGGCACTGCGGCTCACACCTGTAATCCCTTAGGAGGCAGAGGTGGGCGGATCACCTGACATCAGGAGTTCAAGACCAGCCTGGCCAACAAGTCGAAATCCTAAAGTCTCTACTAAAATTATAAAAATTAGATGGGCATGGTGGCGGGCACCTGTAATCCCAGCTACTACGGAGGCTGAGTCAGGAGAATTGCTTGAACTCAAGAGGCAGAGGTTGCAGTGAGCCGAGATCACACCACTGCACTCCAGCCTGGGTGACAGAGCAAGACTCCCTCTGAAAAAAAAAAAAAAAAATTTGCTAGGCGTGGTGGTGCATGCCCAGGCTGGAGTGCAGTGGTGCCATCTCGGCTCACTGTAACCTCTACCTCCGGGGTTCCAGCGATTCTCCTGCCTCAGCCTCCTGAGTAGCTGGGATTGCAGGTGTGAGCCACTGCACCCGGCCCCCCTTTGCTAAATTCTGTCACAGGAATATTTCCCCCACAAGGGTACCCGGTGTGATCTCGAATACATGAATACCTAAATAGTTTCCCTTCATTACTGCTGAGGTGGAACTAAGGGGCCTATAAAGTGTGCAATGAGAAATGGCTACCGTGTGGCTTAATGCTAATCAGCACTCAGGTGCTGTGGCTCGGGCTTCCACATACAGCTCCTGAAATCAGCATCTGATTAACAGCTATTTTAAGACTGCATTATAAAACCTGCCCCCAAATGCTTTCTACATAAGGAGAATGTTATGGGCTGCCACCCATCTTTTCCTCGTGTTAATCATTCCAAAGATTTATGTTGTATACACAGAGAGACTACTAAGCAATTAAATCATTAAGGACTTTTTTTTAATTTGAATGATTTAGTTGAATTTTAGAAGAATCCGCCTTCCTCACCACCCCCTACATCTTTTAATTTAAGCCTCTGAATTCCTTTATCACAGTCTATTAAAGGTGTAAATAAATAAGTTATGAGCCTACTGATAAAAACTAGGGAAATTGTTTTTATTTTTAAATCATATATTTGTATTAGAACGATGCCTTAATTAGAAAACTAAAAACAATTGTGAACCCTAGATTTCCTCCTCCCTAGTTATGCTGTTTTGATTGCTTCAGCGGTAGGATAACGAATCTATTCATTTTATTCTATTTTCCAGATTTCTAACTCCTCCTTCCTTCCTTCCTTCCTCCTTCCTTCCTTCCTTCCTTCCTTCCTTCCTTCCCTCCCTCCCTCCCTCCCTCCCTCTCTTTCCCTCTTTCTTTCTTTCTTTGATGGAGTTTCGCTCTTTTTGCCCAGGCTAGGGTGTAATGGCATGGTCTCAGTCAGAGGTGGAGACTGCAGCCTCCACCTACTGAGTTCAAGCAGTTCTCCTGCCTCAGCCTCCCCAGTAGCTGGGATCACAGGCATGCGCCACCACGCCTGGCTAATTTTGTAATTTTTAGTAGAGACGGGGTTTCTCCGTGTTGGTCATGCTGGTCTCACACTGGCGACCACAGGTGATCCACCAGCCTCAGCCTCCCAAAGTGCTGGGATTACAGGCATGAGCCACCTCGCCCCACCCTCTGCCATATTTCTACTAAAGAACACTGGTGATTCTGCAAGACAAAAAATTTAGTGACATGTAGTTCTCCCAATATCTTTACTGAGTTACAAAATTACTAATAACATGCACAGTATTTCCCTCCAAGCTAACTTACTTCTTGTGTCCATGTATCTGCCCAAAGCCAGAAGCCAATTAGTCATCTTAGAATATTATTTGGATTTTGAAAAAAAAAAAAAAAAAGGAATACTGTTTCAACTCTAATACCCATTCAACCTCCACCCAATCAATCAACAACTCAAGTTGATCCCATCTCTGAATTAACTTTCTTTTTTTTTTTTTAAATAGAGAGATAGAGGTCTTGCTATGTTGCCCAGGCTGGTCTCAAACTCCTAAACCCAAACAACAATCCTCTTGCCTCAGGCTCACTAAGTACTGAGATTACAGGTGTGAGACACTGCACCCAGCCTGAATTAACTTTTTTTTTTTTTTGAGATGGAATCTCGCTCTGTCACCCAGGCTAAAGTGCAATGGTACAATCTCTACTCACTGCAACCTCTGCCTTCAGGGTTCAAGTGATTCTCCTGCCTCAACCTCCTGAGTGGCTAGGACTACAGGCCCATGCCACCACTGCCTATTTTTTTTATTTTTAATAGAGATGCAGTTTCACCATATTGACCAGGCTGCTCTAGAACTCCTGACTTCAAGTGATCTTCCCTCCTAGGCCTCCCAAAGTGCTGGGACTACACCTGGCTCTGAATTAACTGTTGAATTCACCCCTCTCCTCTAGGCCTGGTATCACTGTTGTAGCTCAGAATCTGGCTATGTGTCACCAGAACAGTGAGTGTAACAGCCCAGTGGGTTCATCTTGACCACTGCCTACATAGAGCCAATTTGTCAAGACAGGGGAACCGCAATAGAGAAAACAGTAAAGAGTAATTCACACAGAGTTAGCTATGCAGGAGACCAGAGTCTTATTATTACTCAAATCAGTCTCCCTGAGCATTTGGGAATCAGAGTTTTGAAGGATAATTTGGAGGGTTGGGGACAGCCAGTGAGTCAGGAGTGTTGGTTGGTTGAGTCAGAGGTGAACTCACTTGGGTGAGTTCCACAAGAACACAGACCAGTGGGGGCCACAAGATCAGATGAGCCAATTGATCCATCTGGGCGGTGCTAGCTGATCCATCAAGTGCAGGGTCCGCAAAATATCTCAATCACTGACCTCAGGCTTTACAAAGTGATGCTATCTTCAGGAGCAATTTGGGGAGAGTCAGAATCTCGTAGCCTCCGACTGCATGACTCCTAAACCATAATTTCTCATCTTTTGGCTAATTTGTTAGTCAACAAAGCCACTCTAGTCCCCACGAAAGTAGGGGGTTTGTTTTGGGAAAGGACTATTATTGTCTTTGTTCTAAACTGTAAACTATAAGCTAAGTGCCTCCCAAAATTATGCCCAGGAGTGAACAAGGACAGCTTGGAGTTTAGAAGCAAGATGGAATTGGTTAGGTCAGATCTCTTTCACTATCCCAGTCATAATTTTGCAATGGCGGTTTCATGAGCAGTCCTGTAATTGTGCTCCCTAGTACCAGGCTGGCTGGCTGCCTCCACCCTGCTGGTGTGATTTTTTTTTCTTTTTCTTTTCTTTTTTTGAGACAGGTTCTCGTTTGGTTGACCAGGCTGGAGTGCAATGATGCGATCTCAGCTCACTGCAACCTCCACCTCCCGGGTTCAAGTAGTTCTCCTGCCTCAGCCTCCCAAGTAGCTGGGATTACAGGCATGTGCCACCACGCCCAGCTAATTTTTGTATTTTTAGTAGAGATGAAGTTTCATCATGTTGGCCACGCTGGTCTCAAAACTCCTGATCTCAGGAGACCCTCCTGCCTCGGCCTCCCAAAGTGCTGTGATTACAGATGTGAGCCACTGCACCCGGTTTGTTTTTGGTTTTCGAGACAGGGTCTCACTCTGTCACTTAGGCTGGAGTCCCAGAGATGGGAAAGGAAAAGAAAAAAGAAAGGAGTCACAGGCATTGACAAAGCAGACAGTTCAGGGGTTTCTTTTTTTTTTTTTTTTTGGAGACAGAGTCTTGCTCTGTCACCAGGCTGGAGTGCAGTGGCACGATCTCGGCTTACTGCAGCCTCTGCCTCCCTGGTTCAAGAGATTTTCCTGCCTCAGCCTCCCGAGTAGCTGGGACTATAGGCACCTGCCACCAGGCCCAGCTAATTTTTGTACTTTTAGTAGAGATGGAGTTTCGCCATATTGGCCAGGATGGCCTTGATCTCTTGACCTCGTGATCCACCTGCCTTGGTCTCCCTACATGCTGGGATTACAGGTATGAGCCACTGTACCAGGCTCAGAGCCAAGCTCTTTTACTGCTAAACAGTACGGCCTTCCCCTGGACCATCTAGCTAGCTGTGGTCCACTGTGACCTCAGATGTCTTTCTAGATTTAACACACCCGTACCAATTCTGTGCCTGCGTTCTACATGCATACACATGCCATTTTATAATGCTGCCTACTGAATGGCCTTGTTTTTCACTGAGAGTCGTTCCAGCTGCCCACCCCAATCTATTACGAAGGCTGGGGGTAAGAGTTCAGAGTGGGGGAAAAGGTGGAAGTTCAGGGCTGGAAGACGGGGTGTGTAGAGCTGCAAGAGATGGATGACACGGCTTCTGTGACAAGTACATACAGCAGATGGATCAATATTTCCTGCATTCTGGTAGGGTCAGTCTTCCTCCACAGCAGAGGCTAGAAAGGTAAGAACCACGATTTCCAAACTCAAGGATTCCAGGTGCTGATGAAGTTCCATCAACCAGCAGGAAGCAACAAGGGTAAGACCACACTTCTGCTGCTTCCACTGTTTCTCCTGGGAAGGGCCATTCCTGTGGAGTCTGGATTTCCCACGGTGGCTTCCCAGGCCAGCTGGTAACATAAAAGTCAGTGATTTCCTTCTGCCTGACCTCCCACTTCTATTGATTTTTCTTTTATCTCTTTTTTCTTTTTTTAAAATTGAGATGGAGTCTCTGTTGCCCAGGCTGGAGTGCAGGGACACGATCTCGGCTCACTGCAACCTCCACCACCTGGCTTCAGGCGAATCTCATGCCCCAGCCTCCCAAGTAGCTGGTACTACAGGTGTGTGCCACCGTGCCTAGCTAATTTTTTTGTATTTTTAGTACAGACGGGGTTTCACCATGTTGGCCAGGCTGGTCTTGAACTCCTGATCTCAGGTGATCCACCCGCCTCAGTCTCCCAAAGTGATGAGCTTACAGGCATGAGCCACCATGCCCGGCCATGACCTCCCCCTTCTAAAGCTCAGAGTGGTACCTTTAGCCTCCTGATTGATTCTGTAGTCAATATCAATTCTCCTTCAGCCTAAACTAGCTAGGGAGCCAGAGTAGATTATGTCTGTCACTGACTCCTGACCAGTACAGCATTGAGATGAAAACTTGAGCATGACTGGGGCGGGGAGGGGATTTCAGTGCCAAATACTTGATTTAAACAAAAAGCATAGAGAATAGCATGACAAACATCTTTGCATCCACCACCAAGTTTCAGAAATAAAATTGAGGCTGGGTGAGGTGGCTCACACCTGTAATCCCAGCAATTTGGGAAGCCGAGGTGGGCAGATCACTTGAGGTCAGGAATTCGAGACCTGTCTGGACAACATGGCAAAACCCCGTCTCTACTAAAAATACAGAAATGAGCCTGGTATGGCAGCACATGCCTATAATCCCAGCTACTCGGAAGACTGAGGCACAAGAGCCACTTGAGCCTGGGAGGCGGAGGTTGCAGTGAGCCGAGACTGGGCCACTGCACTCCAGCCTGGGTGACAGAGTGAGACTCCATCTCAAAAAACAAACAAGCAGACAAACAAAATGACTGGGCGTGGTGGCTCACACCTGTAATCCCAGCACTTTGGGAGGCCAAGGCAGGCGGATCACCTGAGGTCAGGAGTTTAAGACCAGCCTGGCCAATATGGCAAAACCCTGTCTTCACTAAAAACATAAAAAATTAGCTGGGCATGGTGGTGGGTGCCTGTAATCCCAGCTACTCAGGAGGCTGAGGCGGGAGAAATCACCTGAACCCGGGAGGCAAAGGTTGCAGTTAGCTGAGATCGCGCCATTGCCTTCCAGCCTGGACAAGAAGAGTGAAACTCTGTCTAAAAGAGAAAACAAACAAAGAAACAGGATCTTACTATAATGCCCAGGCTGATCTTGAACTTCTAGGCTCAAGAGATCTTCATGCCTCAGTCTCCCAGAGTGCTGGGATTATGGGTGTGAACTACCAATCCCAGCCCTCAGTTTATTGCCCAGGTGAAAGAGTGGTGTCTGAATCACGACTGATTGCAGCAACTTCCTTGGACTCAAGTAGACATCCCGAGTAGCTGGAACTACAGGTGAATGCCACCATGGCCAACTAACCTTTTTTTTGGAGAGATGGAGTTCTGCCATTTAGCCCAACTTGGTCTCAAACTCCTGGGATCAAAAGATCTTCCTGCCTTGGCCTCTCAAAGTGCTGAGATTATAGGTGTGAGCCACCATGCTCAGCCAGTTGGTTCTTTTGAACAGTTGGCTGGTACTCCACGCATGAACATATTATCTGCATGGTTATATCGCAGCTTATTCTGCTATTGATGAGGGACATAGTTTAACTTTCTGAACTCTAACTGGGGATGGCATTTCAAATGTCTTCAGGACAGACAGATGAGAGAAATACATGAAATGCTTTGCGGAGGAACAGTCATGACTGGTGCCCATGGTGACTGAGGCATTCACATTTCCATCTTAAAACACTGCACTTGCTGGGCACGGTGGCTCATGCCTGTAATCCCAACACTTTGGGAGGCCAAGGCAGGTGGATCACGAGGTCAGGAGTTCAAGACCAGGCTGACCAAGATGGTGAAAACCTGGCTTTACTAAAAATGCAAAGATTAGCTGGGCATAGTGACAGGCGCCTGTAATCCCACCTACTCAGGAGGATGTGGCAGGAGAATCACTTGAACCCGGGAGGCGGAGATTGCAGTGAGCCAAGATCCCGCCACTGCACTCCAGCCTGGGTGACAGAGCGAGACTCTGTCTCAAAGAAAAAAGGAAAAAACAAAACACTGCACTGGCTGGGCACACCTCATCCCTAGAGCATCAGCGTCCACTGTGGTGTCCCCAAGTCAATATGCTTATGGTTGAGGCTTGTTAAGACAAAGACCCATGACAAATGGTACCAGATCACTTCCAGGGAATGAAAATAAAGATAAAGTAGGTGACGGGCTTCCCATCCCCACAGCATGCCCCTGAGTGCTGGGAAGATGCTGATGATCTCACTGACCAATCATGGAGCCGTTCTAACACCTTTGCCAGGAATTCCGGATGAAACTGTAGCTCAGTGCAAGCAATTCATGGGTTTCTCAATCACCAGGGCTTGAGATTAGTTACTTTGTCACTCAAAGCTACTGAATCATGGCAAGTGGAGATGCATTTGCTATGGTTCAGTTCCAGTCAGCAGAACTTCCCTGGACACTGGCCACCACGCACCTGTAATCCCAGGTAGAGACGGGGATTTGCCATGTTGGCCAGGCTAGTCTTGAACTCCAGACCTCAAGTGATCTGCCCACCTTGGCCTCCCAAAGTGCTGGGATTACAGGTGTGAGCCACCCCATCTGGCCAGGAAACAGCCTTCTGACTGCTCCAATCCCTCTTCCCAAGCTCTGGGATTCCCTGGGATTGGCCTATTATCCCTGGGTTTCCTTGTGCTGGGAATGCCTGCTGGAATCCCAACAATCTTCAACTTCGTTTAGGGTTGCCAGATACAGCCAAAAAAAAGAAGAAGAAGAAGAGAAGAAGAAGAAGAAAAGGACATCCAATTTAAATTTGAATTGCGGATGAACAATAACAAGTAATTATTTTGGTGTAAGTATGTTCCATTGCAATACATGTGGCATTTTCATACTTAAAATCTGTTGTTTATCTGAAATTCAAATTTCAGATAACTGGTTGTGCTATATTTTTATCTAGGAGCCCAAATTCTCATTCCCAGTGACTAGGGTGTCTAGCAGGAGGATGTCTGGACGTGGTGTGGGGCACCCGGCTTCATCAGGTACAGCTGCCAAGAGGAACTGGTTTTCAGGTTCCTTTGTTAAAACTGCCCCAGATGGACAGACACAACACCCTCCTTGTCTTCTTGGCTGCAGAGTCAGTTTTCCATGAATACATCTCATGGGAATGAGCAAACTGGTTTCTCCTCTTCCTGGCACCAGACAGTGTACAGCAATAACGTAGCCCAACTAGAAGCTGGGAGCCCAGAATTTGAACATGGAAAGATTTTTTTTCCTGGAGCCATGTAACATGAGCCAAAAAGCTATACATAACATTTGGTAGAAATATTACTGCTAGCACATTCTGAAAAGGTTGGTGGTAAGTGATTTTGACTTAGATATGCAGCTGGTGTTCAATGATCGCGATCTATTGATAAAAACAGTAGCTGCTCAGTGAGGTCAGCGTGACGGCAGTCTAAAATGCAGGGGCATAAATTCGTGTAAGTGCTGTTCACTCATTAATTTATTCAAAAGTGATTTCTGGCCAGGCACAGTGGCTCATGCCTGTAATCCCAGCACTTTGGGAGGCTGAGGCGGGTGGATCACTTGAGGTCAGGAGTTGAAGACCAACCTGACCAACATGGCGAAACCTCATCTCTACTAAAAATAGAAAAATCAGCTGGGTGTGGTGGAGCATGTCTGTAATCCCTGCTACTTGGGAGGCTGAGGGGAGAGAATCGCTTAAACCTGGTAGGTGGAGGTTGCAGTGAGGTGAAATTGTGCCACTGCATGCCAGCCTGGGTGACAGAGCAAGACTCCATCTCAAAAACAATAAATAAATAAATAAGTGATTTCTTGTCCACCTATTATGTGACAGGCATTGGGCAAAAAAGACGCAGCCCTGCACTCAAAGTGTTCCATTCGTTCTGTTTAGGAGAGACAGACGAGTGAAGGTAATTACAGTGCAACATGATGAGTGCTTTGATGAGGGTAACTACACGGTGCTATGGGGACCCCTGGAGGGGATTTACCCGGGAATGAAGGTCAGGAAGGTGTCTCTAGAGGAAGACCTGAAGCATGGGTGGGAATTAGTGTGGTGAAGGGAGAGGGAGGAATGGAGAGAACTTGAGGTCACTTGAGGAAGTGACCTCAAGTGACAGAGGAAACAGCACGTGTCAAAGCAGGGGAAGGGAGAGAGCATGGCACCCTCAGGAAGCTGCAAGTTGCGGGGGAGGGCTGGAGGGTGAAACTCCATCTCTACTCCGTTTAAATGAAAGAAAAATATTTCTTTTACCCTCTTAGGTTTAGTGACAAGGGCTCTGCAAATTGAGCAAATGACAGATTAACAGAAAAAAGGCATGTTCATTTTATTTGATGTTAATCTTTTAATTTTCATATGTACGGGGGGTCTCATGGAAAAACGAGTAAAAATCTAAAGGAGTGGTTAGGTCTGAGAGCTTATATAGTAACAGAGTGTTACATTTACAGAGAGGTGATAAGATGAAGGAGAAGAGTGTGGGCTTCTGGGGAAGGCAAATTCTGGGAAGGTAAACATATATGGGGGAAAGAAGGCCGGGCAGGTGGCTTACACCTGTAACCTCAGCACTTGGGGAGGCCAAGGGGGGCAGATCACTTGAGGTTAGGAGTTTGAGGTCAGCCTGGCCAACATGGAGAAACCCCATCTCTACTAAAAATACAAAATTAGCTGGGTGTGGTGGTGCACGCCTGTAAGCCCAGCTACTTGGGAGGCTGAGGCAACAGAATCACTTGAACCCAGGAGGCAGAGGTTGCAGTGAGCTGCAACCCCCACTGCACTCCAGCCTAGGCAACAGAGCCAGACTCCATCTCAAAAAAAAAAAAAAATGTGTGAGTGAGAAGTTATGCCCCCAAAGGTTCTGTGGCCAAATGGCCTTGGAAAATAGTAGACTTAGCAAAGTTTCCTTGCTTAGTAAACTGCAGGACTTCTCAGACATTTTAAAGCACCAGTGGACACTGTGAATCTCTAGATGGGAAATATAAAAAGCAGTGTTTCTCAAACACATTGAACGATGGAACTCCCCACCTACCTTTGTTTTCAACAGAGCATCTCATGGGACTTGTGTTCCCTGGCATATACTGCGGGAAACACTGACCTAGGTGCTAATGTTGAAACAAGCTAATAGAGAGGCTAGAGAAGAAGAGGAACAGGGCAAATATAATATATTTTTAAGTTCTTTTTGTAGAGGTGGAGTCTCACTATGTTGCCCAAGCTGGTCTGGAAATCCTGGCCTCAAGTGATCCTCTGGGCTCAGCCTTCCAAAGTGCTGGGATTGCAGGCATGAGCCACCATGCCTGGCTGGGCAGGGCAATTAAAATGTATAGTTTGGGAGTAAAAGTCAGAAGTTTGAATACCAAGTCAGAGGGACCAGAAACTTTATCTAACTTAAAGGTCACTGACAATGGCAAACTGGAACATAGATTTTGTTTGACTTCACTGTTAAAAAAAAAAAAAAAAAAAGTTGGGGGTCAGGTACAGTGGCTCAAGCCTGTAATCTCAGCACTTTGGAAGGCCAAGGCAGACAGATCACTTGAGGCCAGGAGTTCAAGACCAGCCTGGCCAACATGGCAAAACCTCGTCTCTACTAAAAATTCAAAAATTAGCTGGGAGTGGTGGTATGCACCTGTAATCCCAGCTACTTGGGAGGCTGAGGCAGGAGGATGGCTTGAACCCGGGAGGCGGAGTTTGCAGTGAGCCGAGACTGCACCATTGCACTCCAGCTTACCTAACAGAGACTCCATCTCAAACAAAAAAAGGAAAAAAAAGGAGAGTGAGTTTTACATAAATGTCCAATATCAGAGTATTTGACAACACTGGCATCACGTCTTTACATGGCAATAATTGGCTGCCCTGTTTAAACAAACATCCTCAATTTGCCGCGGTACCCGTTGCAACCTCTTGTATTATAATTGGCCTACTTCTGTCACTTATGTTACAAGGAAGTGGCTGCGTTCGTGAGCCTTGGTCTAACTGCATATCGTAAACTTCACAGAAGCTGGAATAGTGGTCTATAGTCTATAACTGCCACTCAGCCATTTATTTTTATAACTTGTTTCTTTTTTCTGATTATAAAAGTTGCTCATGCTGACTCTAGAAAACTTGGAAATACAAAAAGTATGAAAATAAAACAGTGACGTGCGTAGTAACCACAATTTAGTGATGACTGTTTAACTTCTGTTATTTTTTTCATCTTTTTTTTGCATCTAGTTATCTAAATTTTCATCATATTTTGGATCAGACTATATTTGCAGTTTGGTATTTTGCCTTATTTAGAAGACATTCTACCAGCTACTAAGTATGGCTTGTTCTGCCATATTGCAATAATTGAGTTTCCAAGAAAACTCACTTTATCAGAAATTGCTTACAATGGACCAGAGAGATTATGGGCTAAAAAGTTTTAGACTCCCTCAAAAAGGGCAATTTTTTTAATGCTGGAATGTCTATCTTAGAGTATTTTGTTTGTTTGTTTGTTTTATAATTATAAGGATACAGCTCTAAAAGTTAAACATAAGCCAGGCGTGGTGGCTCACACCTGTAATCCCAGCACTTTGGAAGGCTGAGGCGGGTGGATCACCCTAGGTTGGGAGTTTGAGACCAGCCTGACCAACAAGGAGAAACCTCGTCTGTACTAAAAATACAGAATTAGCTGGTGTGGTGGTGCATGTCTGTAATCTCAGCTACCTGGGAACCTGAGGCAGGAAAATTGCTTCAACCTGGAAGGTGGAGGTTGTGGTGAGCCGAGATCGTGCCATTGCACCCCAGCCTGGGCAACAAGAGCAAAACTCCATCTCAAAAACAAAAACAAAAAAAAGTTAAACATAGTTGGAGAAGTCCAACATCATATGGTTCAAAAGTCACTCAAATAAAAAAGAAACTAATGTCACAGTGCATGTGGGAAAGGCTTGAATAATACTGTTTCATTAATTGAGGAAATTGAGGGTCGAGTGTGGGGGCTCATGCCTTTAATCCCAGCACTTTGGGAGATGAAGGTGGGTGAATCGCTTGAGCTCAGGAATTTGAGTTTAGGCAAGATGATGAAATCCTGTCTCTACAAAAAATACAAATTTAGCCACGTGCAGTGGCATGCACCTGCAGTCCCACCTACTTGGGAGGCTGAGGCAAGAGAATTGCCTGTGCCCAGGATCCGAGATCATGCCACTGCATTCCCGCCTGGGCAACTGGAGTGAAACGCTGTCCCCCGCCCCTTCACCAAAAAAACAACAACTGAAAAAGCAAATTTTCTAAATTCCTATTTAGAATTTAGAATTCTAAATTCCTATTCATAATTTTATGTAATAAGTTAAATGTAAAGATTTGTGTAACTGATATAATAAAAGTATGAATAGACATTGGACTATTTCATCTACATGCCTAAAAGTTTATTTATTGATTTTTTTTCTTAGAGATGGGGTCTTACTCTGTTGTCCAGGGTGTAGGGCAGTAGGTTTTGCT